GAAAAAGCCGATTTTTCGTTCAGAATTTGAGCGGAAAGGGACGGTCCCTCTCTATAGACACTATTTGATGTTTTTTTCAGTAACAGCAGCCCAATAACATTTAAATTTATTATATTTGAATGTCATTATGTGTTCGTTATTATGTACTAAAATATGAAAACTTTTGATATTTGAGTTAGCAAGAAATCTTACATTTTTCGCATTAAAACATGTAAAATGTGTATACAAAGACAATGTCTCTACGACAATCAATTAATCATTACTCGTATTTAGGTTCGTAGATTTTGTAAATTTTTTCCCGCATGTGCACAACTTTTCATTTGTCATGCCGCGTTCAATTCAGCTTTTTACACAGGCAATACACAATTTGAATGCGATAAAATAGTGTTATTTTAGAAATAGAAAGTTAAAAAACAACAAAAATTTTAAAAATAATGACATTTACAATTAACGATTAGATACTACAGTTTAATTTTATATTCGAAATTTTATTACTATCATCATCATCATTCTTATAACTATTATTATTATTGTTATAAGGTCATATTGAGGGTAGGCATGAGGTAGCAGGTTACGCCTACAATAACAGAGGTTTGTAAAATTAATTAAAATAACTGAAAAGAACTGTAGAAATGTAGAAATGATTTCAAGTGACCCTAAATGTATATGGAATGTCTGATGCATAACGGTACCCCTTAAAAACATTTTTAACATCTTTGTTTTATTAAGAGATATCCATGTTTTGTTAATAAAAACTTATTATATTCAATTGTGGTTCTCTATATATCTTAAGAACAATTGTGGATTTTATAAAGCAGAGAAACTGTAGAACCCAAGGTTGTCAGAATTTGATCAGAATTGGATAGTTATGTGATCAGGATTTTATCGTTATATTTTTGATCAGGATTTTGTCAGGATATTATCAAGATTTAATCATGATTTGATCAGGATTTGATCAGGATTTGATCTGGATTTAGTAATTATTTGGTATCTAGGATTTGTTCCCGGATACAAAACTAGTTCGGGTGAAGCTTACGGATATGATTTGATCGGACATTTTGGGTAGGTTTACTTTTCTAAATATTGACTATATATAAAGGTTTACTTTTCTAAATATTGACTATCTATATAAATAAAAAGGTAAAACGAAACAATAATTAATTGATTACAATTTGTGTAATGAGAAACTTAACACTCGCCTTGCAACTTGCAACCTGATGTTGTAGACCTTTGATATTTCCATATATGAATTTAAATGGCTCACTATGTCAAAGGTTTACACCACCATGGCTATGGGAATCAGAAAATTATAGTTTCAGACGAGAAATATTGTTCTAAAGATTTTTGATCAGAAATAAGTTTATTAAACTATAAATTATTTTATTTCCAGGCATCACACAGGCCCGTTTGGTCCTTTCGGATTCTATGCGAACTTTTATGATGATTAAAAGTGAAATGAACATGTAATACAGTAAAACCTAAAAATTATAATATTACGAAGTCATAAGCTTGCTTCAGTTCTTAAAAAATGTGTAAACTTTTTTCATCAAAAGTATTGAATTGAAGGAAGCAATCACTTTTAAGTAGGACCATGACATTGTGGAAATTTAATCTATAATTCATTTATTTTGGCAAAAATGTTTATTTAAAGTATGAAATATATATTTTTTATTTATAACCATATTTTAGTCGACATTTTCAAGTTTTGAAAAAACGTCTTAAAGGAAGTGTTCGGGAGAAATGACAGGGGGTATAGGCTTACGTCGAAAAATTATAGATAGTGTTCGTTACAAATCTTACTTCCATCTGTTGCGTCTATAACGAGAAAATTGTTAAAAACGACTCATACTGCAGAACGTAGCGTCCACAAAAATTCAGAAAGTTGCAATATTTGACTTGGATCGTAAAAAAATCAATTTAATTCCAAACAAATCACTCAGATATTAAAACCTAGAATCATCTGTACATTTTCGACGCATTTCCTATAAAGTTGATATTTCATAAAAAAAATTACTAATTTCATATACAATTCTTTAAAGACCCCCCTTAAAAATCCCTTTTAAAAAAATACTAATTTCATATACAATTTTCTTTAAAGACCCCCCTTTAAAATCCCTTTTAAAAAAACATATTGATACCTTTTTTAACTATTCGATCATATACACACTTCCATATTACAAGTGTGAAAAAATTATTTATGTAATCATACAATCATACAATCCCTCTTAACACCATGCGGTGTAAGCTTGAAAAATAGAGATGGAAGCGTTTCTAAATAAAAAATCTATATTTTCATAGGATCGAAACATATTGTTTTATAAATTATGATAACAATTATATTTACACTGAAGGTAGTATTGATTAAAGCTTTTTTTATTAAACTTTTAAAGTTGAGGGCAAAAGTGAGATTTTAAAGTATATGATGTAATTATACTTAAACGGAATACGTGCGTAATTTCAAGTGACCCTCCATTTATAGAGTGGCATGTTTGATGTCCATTTATATAGAGTGGCATGCCTGATATACCTTTGAAACCTTCATTTCTCCATTGTTTCTGAAGCAAATAGTTCGCGAGTCACTTTTGTAGAGGAACCACAAATGAAAATAATCAGTTTTCAAAATGAGAAACATGGATATTTAATGCAATCAGACAAAGCTTTGAAGGGTATTGATGTTGTGAATCAGAATATATTTTATTTCTTTTCTTAATCTTTTAATTTGGGTGAGTGCAATGCAATGCAATGCAATGTAATTTAGAATGTAGATTGCCTGAGGAAGGGAAATGCAAGCAGATGTAATATTAAAAGAGCCCCCCCTCCCGTAGGGGGAGCCTGGGGGCTCGGCCCCCTCCTAGTACGCCACTGATGATAAATGGAAATGGAACTCTTTAAAACTGTTTATTTTTACAATTACGGATATTTTGGTATAATAGTACAAGGTTACCCAAAAAGGATGAGAACATCACAATTTTAAAGTTGAAGGGAATCATGAATATGAGGAAACAGACATTATACAGTGATAACTAGAAAACTATGGAATGGGTAGACGACACGATACCCTGCAAACATTCAGTCTCCGACAAACCGATGGCGAAAGTCCAGCAATCGGTAAAAATGTTTCCTGGGTAAACAATACTAAAGTCCATTTGATGTTGTTCTTAAATAGCTTTACTAGCAGTCTAGCCTATATATATCAAATCCCTAATCCAGTGAAATGGGCTTATTTACACTACATAATTGCTTTGTTTCATGTGCATTGGCTGCTTTATAAATTCATAACTGCATTCTTAAGTCGACTTCCTATTCCAGAGTTTTCTGGTTATATAAATAATTCGTCTCTGAAGTCTCGCCTAGGGAGTAACCCTGTATGAAACCCTATAGAAAATGCCAAGACGTCATTTTATAAATTCTTTCGATGTCTCCAGAGGTCTGGGTTAATATGTATATTTTTTCAAACCCAACGAGGAAAAAATCGTTACCGTCATAGGACAACGTAACCATTGTTATATACAAACAAACATGCTCAATGCTCATTCGTTATAAATATAAATTGATTTTTAAAGGAAAATTAAAGTATTTTCCAATAACTGTTTAACTGCACAAAACACAAAGATTACTTGAATATCCCCCCCCCCCCACATTTTCCAGGGGAGGGGGGTATGCAAACTTCAAGGCCCTTAAGGCAGCATATCTGATTCTATGATATATTTCTCGAAGGAGCGTATTGCAGGGGGCCAGGGCTGAACCTGCAGTTGACATTCACAAATTTCCCCTGAAATTCATTGTTTTGTTGCACTAAGTGGAGGAAGGGGGGGGCTTACAGAAACCAAAGCCCTCCCCTCCTGTTCACGCCCCTGGAAAAATATGCGCCTCCACTGAAGGGTACTTTCCACTAAAACAATATTTCTTCGGTCAATACTGCAAATCACTGCAATAAAAACTGAAAGCCTAATTGAGGGTGAGGGGGTAACACATATTCCCGTTACCCCCCCAAATTTATCGTAAGCGGCCCTGGCGGCCCATGATTATCAGGCCCTGATATTCCATTTGTTTTTTTCAATTATCATCGTTTCATTGTTAACCCTGTATAAAAGTTTGTTTAAATGTCGTCTTTTCTATACTCTTTCTCTTGTGTACAGGAAATCCACCAATCACATTTGATTACAACACACGAACCTATCCACTCAGATTTCTGACGAATGGTGTAATATTATGAATCATTCTCGTCGTTTTCTGCTTGGTTCTGGTATTATTTCACAACAATTTGTGGAGAAAATGTTAGATTTTAAGATTGTGTTTCATTTAAGCCACGTTTTCGAGAGCAGTGATGTCAATTTACAAATTTATATTTCATGTTTATAAAGTGAATTATCATTTTCTCTGTTTTCGTTGAAAACCTTCTATACCTGGAAGGAATGATGAGACTTTTTTTCTGTCAGTTTATTGCATTATTTTGTAAAGGTGTTACCGTTTAAATTACAGGTAATTTCCTAGTATACGATTTTTGGACCCCCCCCCGGGCCCCCCCTCCTATCAATTTTGTACATGGATCTTATATGTTAGACATGGATATAATTGACCATGTGGCC